AGCAACCTCTACTACAGTCCTTGTCTGCATCACAAATGACACCCATATGTGCCCTGGTCAAACGTAGTGCACTATATAGGATATAGGCTGCCATTTGGGACACAGTCCTTCTCTTTAGAGAGCTGGAATTATTATAACAGATATGCTAGTCTCAGGCCTTTCATTTCCAGCTCAAGCCACAGGAGAGGTTAGCTTGACTTCAGTGCTCTCTGTGAATGTGGTGATGGAGTTTCAGGGAAATTACACCTGTCACTCCACTTTGCAGCAGTGCATGTTAGGACATGCCAGGCTACTTCAGGCAACTTCCTTCTGTGTGTGTGTGTGTGTGGGGGTGTGTGTGTATGGGGGGGGGGGAAACAGCTCGGAAGAAACAGCTCGGAAGTGCTTGCAGTGCCCGTTCCGGTTTTACAAATGTTTACACATCATTTTAGGAGAAAAGGAAACTTACTGAGAAAATTGCACACAATATTTTAAAAAGCCATTTATTTGTATGCATTTTTGTGTCACATTTGACCTCTTTCACCATCAAAGTAGGTATATTGCCAATTACACTCAACAATAGATAGATCAATACTTTATTGTATACTATTGTATAGCAGTATCAGAGTCCCTTTAATGAAGACGACTCTAAAATGACACCAAGGCTATTGTAATGGACAATTCCAGCAATACCTACAAGTTTCCGTTAGGATATACTACCTGCAGCTTCAGCTGTGATGCAATATCTTATGATATAATTCTACCTGTTCTCAGTTTCATTTTCAAGTGAGGCACCAACTCATATCCTTGGCAAGCATCCCATGGGAAACCATATTATTGCTGTCAATGCCTTGGGGGGTCTGGGGAAGCTGTAACTAAATTATAGGCATGGAGACCTCTCGCTGTAGATAGATTGGTTTGTGAATAACTCTCAGTTATATGTGAGAAATGAAGAGTATGCCAACATGCCATGATAAAATGGCAGACATGGGCAGGAATCAGATGCATCCTGGAGGTATGAATGAGTTTCACCACCAATGGTTCAAATGGATGCAGTCCAATTAAGAATACACTGATTTACAAGAGCAGGAGATCTGACTCTAGATCCAATTTTTTTATTACATAGTATTACACATTATTATAACCCATTTAAAGCGATGTTAGTCATATACTGCAATTAGGCCTGATTCTAATAAAACAGCATGAAAATAATATGATGCACTTACAATAGGATGTTTGGACAGCAACATTCCTGATATTACAGATCACTATTTTTGGAATGGTGACGAGAAAACACCTTTTTGTGCCCGTTTGGGATTTCCACATGAGGTACAGTAATAGCAACATCAGGTAAGGCACAAAGATACAGTGTAGTTTCACTATGTGTAAGCCCAACAGGTGTGGTATCCCAGAAACAGCATCACTTTGGTATAAAAGTACCATGGACTTGCAACGAAGAGCATCACGAAATCATCATCTAAATCAAGGAACCGAACCAGACGGAGCATCTTACTGCTGAGAAAGGACATCTACTCTGAGGTAACGTTCACTTATTTTTTTATACATTCTGTTGATGATAGAAAAACATAACATTTTAGGACAAAATCATTATTATAACCTTCAATGGATCTGACCATTCTAGATGATAGATATACTACATAACCAAAAGTATGTGGACACCTGCTCGTTTAACATCTCATTCCAAAATCATGGGGATTAATATGGAGTTAATATGGAGTTGGTCCCCCCTTTGCTGCTATAACAGCCTCCACTCTTCTGGGAAGGCTTTCCACTAGATATTGGAACATTACTGCGGGGACTTGCTTCCATTCAGCCACAAGAGCTTAGTGAGGTGGGCACTGACGTTGGGCGATTAGACTTGGCTCGCGGTCGGCGTTCAAATTCATCCCAAAGGTGTTCGATGGGGTTGAGGTCTGGGCTCTGTGCAGGACAGTCAAGTTCTTCCACAACAATCTCGATAAACCATTTTTGTATGGACCTCACTTTGTGCATGGGGGCATTGTCATGCTGAAACAGGAAAGGGCCTTCCCCAAACTGTTGCCACAAAGTTGGAAGTACAGAATCGTCTAGAATGTCATTGTATGCTGTAGCATTAAGATTTCCCTTCACCTAGCCCGAACTATGAAAAACAGCCCCAGACCATTATTCCTCCTCCACCAAACTTTACAGTTGGCACTATGCATTCGGGCAGGTAGCGTTCTCCTGGCATCCGCCAAACCCAGATTCGTCCGTCGGACTGCCACTGCTCCAGAGTCCAATGGCGGCAAGCTTTACACCACTCCAGCCAACGCTTGGCTTTGTGCATGGTGATCTTAGGCTTGTGTGCGGCTGCTCCGCCATGGAAACTCATTTCATGAAGCTCCCGACGAACAGTTATTGTGCTGACGTTGCTTGCAGAGGCAGTTTGGAACTCGGTAGTGAGTGTTGCAACCGAGGACAGACGATTTTTATGCGCTTCAGCACTCAGTGGTCCCATTCTGTGAGCTTGTGTGGCCTACCACTTCGAGGCTGAGCCATTGTTGTTCCTAGATGTTTCCACTTCACAATAACAGCACTAGCAGTTGACCATGGCAGCTATAGCAGGGCAGAAACGGTGTCACGTTGAAAGTCACTGAGCTCTTCAGTAAGGCCATTCTATTGCCAAGGTTTGTCTATGGAGATTGCATGGCGGTGTGTTCGATTTTATACACCTGTCAACAATGGGTGTGGCTGAAATAGCCGAGTCCAGTAATTTGAAAGGGTGTCAACATACTTTTGTATATATAGTGTATCAACGTATCTTATTAAAATCTAAATACACCTTTATTCCAGGGATCATGTGTTGGATAAGAGTTGCTGTCATCTGTGTTCTGATAAGCCTGGTGAAGGCTCAGAAAGAGTGCTTTAAACTTGTTGTATGGCGCGATCTCCTCCACAGCTTAAACAGCTTGGTAAATATCCTATACAATGCATGAATATAGTATACAATGATACATTTAAAAATTCATGCATAACCTATCCACAAAATATTTTTCGATATCCTTTCCACATCCATGTGACAATATGCTATGTTTTGTACCTCTCATCAGGGCAGTAAAATCTCCCATGAGTGTGTGCATCACTATGATAAGGCCAGTCTCTGTGATCCTCAACTGATGCTCGGTCAGGTAAGAGAAACAGGTTGACATTGTCATGAAATAGTCCATCACTTTCCATGTATATGATTTTGACCTCTGTAATAAAACATAGGATCACTCAAATTAAACTGCTCCTAGATGCCTATTAGCCTGGATCCAACTTCAATTGCTAGGTTTTATCATTGTTCTGAGCAATTGAGTTTGGATCCAGGTTGATGTGTTTGATAGCCTACTAACATAATTAAATCAGGGAGATACAGAGTTTGAAGTGCTTTTCTCTATTTTCAACAGATGGAACACAAAGAGGTAGTTCTGGCTGACATCATGAAGAAGGCTATGATCATGTATGAGAAAAGCCCTCACTCTCACAACTTCAGGGAACAATTGGCCATTGCGCAACATAAGCTAACATCTTGTGTGAGTGGCTAGAACAAGCTTTCGCCTGTATTGCTAAGATCATATTCACATTTTAGTTTTCCACTTGTTCTTTTAAATTTACTCATAACTCACATTTATTCTGACCATAGGCAGTGGCACAACTTCCTTCAAATGCTGACCATGAGCCAGTGACTACATGCTTTAACAAACTTGAGAATTTTCTCAAACACAAAAAGGTCAGTCTCACAATATTACAAGTGATCAAATGGTGTTGGATAGACTGAATCCAATATGTGATGACAATGGGCAGTAAATGACAAATTAAGCTGATTATAAACTGTTATATCTTATTCAGGCTCATCTACATTGTGCATGGGAGATTATCCACATCACAGTCAGAGAAATCCTTCAGAGATTTGAGAACCGCACCGTCAGAGGACTACGGCGAAGATGATGATTGAATCATTTTGTTCATTACAGCAACATTGAAAAAAGATAGCTTTGTATTTTAATTAATTTGTATTGTTTTATTGGGGGAAAACATGTGTTAGGGCCTGTTTATCAAATAAAAATATGTTGATTGAAATGTTAGAGGTAGGCAATCATTTTTGGAGTGTGTTATGAAACTTTAACTTTTATGTTGTTTGATATCCTTGGTAGTTTGTGCATTTGGCCACCAGATGGCGACAACGCATATTGAACAAACATGCCACTAGAGGGTGCAAATATCTTGCCAAATGTATCATATACATTTTATTATAGTGGCATGAATGTTGTCTTAATTTATAAAGAATAAGATACAGTTTCAGAATGGCAGTTTAAACTGGTCAATGTGGAAATATGAGGCTTCATTCCAAACTGCAAAACCACCCTGATGGACTGCATAACATAGATTAACCTTTATATGATGGGTTTGGGGGCACCACTACAAATGAATAACAACACACACACGAACGCACATGCACCCACGCACGCACACACACATACACGATACAGAGGGAGAGAGACAGAGAGAGACAGAGAGAGAGAGAGAGAGAGAGAGAGAGAGAGAGAGAGAGAGAGAGAGAGAGAGAGAGAGAGAGAGAGAGTCAGCCATTCTGAACGTAAATACCAGTGGTAGCTTTGAAATATTAAGGGATCTCAGGTATCTGCAGAGTATGTTTATTTTTTTGCTCAACAGTTTTGAGTTTTGAATAATATAGGTAAATAACCGAACTCATGAAGTGAACTGTCTTTTATGGGCAGCCTTTATTCATTCAATGTGAGCATCCATCAAAATGTGATTAGGCCTATTCAATTTATTGCCACATACAGTAGTTTACTGTTAGGTTGGCCTACAACTGTATTGCTCATAGGTACCTCCCATTTCATCACCTAATCCGCCCACCCACAAGTCTCCGATTGGTCCAAACACGGAAAGGTGTACGTGAATCGAAAGCTCATTTGCTGACGATTATGTCAATTTATCGCGAACTCGTCACTCTATGCAAATCGCTGACTAGCCTACAGTACATGCGGAACAGACAGTTGGAGAATATCGGGCACGGGTAGGGAGAGAGGAAAGGGGGCGGACGACAATTTTAGCCCTCCATTAACGGCACAATTTATACTGTTTGAAATATAACTGTACAACTACCAATTTAATCATAAGAAGAATTGAAAGCCGCAAACATGGCACAGCCAGACAACCAAAGCAAGAGATTCTTTGAGAGTCTGTCGGGAGCGGGGAAATCCATCGCAGTGCTGACTAGCGGAGGGGATGCTCAAGGTAAGGTTACTGTGACAGATGACAGCGCGAGAGAATGTACCCTGTGACATTGTATCAGTGGAGAGGCCCGTAGAGGGCGAAAAGCACCCATTTGAACTGAAAAGAAACACATTGTTACATTGTATATTGAATCAACTAGCCTTGATACAATGTTTCAATAAAAATAGCAATTCTTTGAAGTAATGTTACAGTAGCAGATATCACAGGCGCAGTTAGCATTTTGGTGGCTAGCTAGCTCTGATTATCCACATTTGGAGCATTTTCTCACCACCACTAGGCCAGCTGCAAGCTCCCGTCAAGGTGAAACACATATGCCGACATAGCTAGATAGCTCGACGTCTATTCGATTATCAGGCCAATCATCTGATTTGTATTGATTTTACACATAACATTAACAACAATTATGACACCGGGCTACGTGTGGAGAGAGGAGAGGTGATTTAATTTTCGAATTCTTGCCACTGCATTGCAGAGTTTCGTTCTGTTAGTGTGATCACGTACTGTAGCATTTGTCCTTTAATAATATTGGTATGCTTCATAGTAATATGTTACATTATAACATCGGGTTGATGAAGGAATTAGTGAGGATGATGACGACGACTCCTCCCAACCAGGAAGTCACTAAAAACGATGGTGTTCATGCTGCTATCTTCATCATTTTAAAAAGGAATAAACGTCTATCTCTGAAAAGCAGACGTTCACTATTATGATTATTCTGAACAAGAATGTCATTTAAATATGTTATGGGACTGCAATAAGCTTCAGCGATGCCCTAGCCTGTGTGCGTTGCCTACGTGAGGAGCAGCAGGCATCATAGCAGGCTGCGTCAGAGGAAACCCATTGTCATATGCTCTGTCTACTGTTACTTTATGAATGTGGCTTGTGCCTTAGTCAAAATAGGGCACGTTTTCATGGTTATCAAAAGAACAAGAAGAAGCACTAGGAATCAGCTCAAACGACTTGAGTGAGTCATAGAGAAAGCAGAACAGCTTTCAAGATTGCTGCAGTAGGCCTTTGCTTATAATATAACTTTATTATGAAAGGCCTACTGCAGCAATATTGACTAATGAACCTTGGTTGGAAGCCTATCTATATTCCACACGGGCCATCACATTGCATTGCAGTATCTATTTGAAATGCCTTTGCCCACACACCCCTACAATGAAGACCAAATGCCCTTACCCAATGCACTGCAGGATACTACATGATGGTCATCACTGTAAAAATGGTCCCTGTAAATCTACAGCATTATACTGGCAGCAGAGTTGCCAGTTAAATACTGTAGTTTTGCTTTACGGCAGGGTTGCTGTAAAATGTTTTACAATAAGAAAAACAGTGATGAATTATACAATACAGCTCTATCTGTCTGTCTGTCTCACTCACTCACTCACTCACTCACTCACTCACTCACTCACTCACTCACTCACTCACTCACTCACTCACTCACTCACTCACTCATCTGGCAGCATGAGGTTGGTGCCTGAAACTGAACATTTGAATCTCCATTGGGCACAAGGTATTACTGTAAAGAAATACTGTACTTTTTGGAGGAGTCTTCCAATTCCAGATAATAACAGCATTATTTGCATTTTACCCATAATGCATTTTACTGTGCATTCTACAGTGTTTTAATATTGAAATTACAGAAAAGTCATACAGTGCAGTCAAGATGCCTTTGACTCAGCCAGGAATGGCCAGGAGTACACTGATCGATCCCCTGTGGGTGGGAGGCTTTATAATGCCATAGCAATGTTGTCTACCTCACTGCGCTGCAGGGTTCACTGTAGCTGCAGGCCTTACTGCACAGCCTCTGTTAGGCCCCAAACATGAGTCTTTGGCCTCAGAATGTACAACTAGAACTCATCTGGAGGATCAGAGAGCATTCAGGCCGTCTGAAAACAACTTAGAGCCATGCATGATAGGAATGTCAGCTTCAGAAAGACATCCCACTGGGCACAGATGCCAGCTCAATGTCTAGTTTTGATGTAAATTTGGTTGAGTTGTCAACTAATGTGAAATCAACAAAACATTTCAAAATATAATTGGAGTTAAGTTAAATGTTGGGAGAAAAAAAGAAAAAATTCCCTTACGTTGATGACTTTTTGCAAATCCAATCAGTTTTGGATGTTGATTCAACGTCATCGCATTCATTTTTTTAGTTGAAATGACATGGAAACAACGTTGATTCAACCAGTTTTTGCCCAGTGGGATGAGTCAGTCAGACTTGTAGCTTACAATACCCATATGTTCTCTCTGGCTCTGCCGCACTCATAATCAGATGGTTTACAAGAGGTAATATGAATATAACTATGCTATTCATATGAATGTAGTTACATAACAGAACAGAGATGATCACTTGACTTGTAAAGTGGCAACTGATGATCCCTTTATGATGATTATGCGTGAAAAACTATGGATCTGTCATTATGTAATAGCTTTTATAATACACTCAATATAGGCTAGGCCCTATGAGGTTCATTTAGAGAAGTCTGTACCTGTTCTTATCATTTTTTTCTCCCCTGCTTTCTTGCTTTCTCTTTCATATCCTCCTGATGGTCAATCTCAGAAGTGTGTTGCTTAGTAACAGCTTAGCCGAGCTACTATGACACTGTGAAACCAAACGTTTATCAGATTGTGGATAAGCGCCTCCCCCGGGCCTAGTCAGCCAAGTTCCAAGGATCTGCATGGTCTACAGCACATTAACCATTATTCCTACTGTCTAAGAAGTTAGGTTAACCTGACATTAGAATTCTAGGCACAGAACAACATCTTTACAGTTCTCTCCAAAGCAACTGAATATGGCAGTGGGAACATGGCAGTGGGAGACTGGGATTCCTGCAGTGGAAGCGGACTGCACAGTGTTGGGATTTTTGAAAGCGAGGCTCTTTCTTATGGTGATAAAAGATTCAGACTTCGGCCTGAAAGGGGGCATGCCATTACATGTTGAGCTATTCACCACTTACGCTCATAAGTGTATGCACAGGAATCATGTGTTTCATGTGGCCATACGTTCTCTTGTTGAATATAATTAGGCTATATAGGACATGTCGCTACAGAAGTCTTAAGCAGTATTCAAATGTTGCTATTTAAAAATGCCTTATTCAAGAGAGTGCGAGTCAGTCGTTTTGTTTTTCTCTTGGCTAGGAATGAATGCTGCTGTCCGGGCAGTCGTTCGAATGGGAATCTATGTGGGAGCCAAAGTTTACTTCATTCGTGAGGTGAGTCTAGACACTCTGTATACACAGCAATACTTTACAAACCAAAAAAGCATTCCTTACCCAAGGATACGTCAACAGGTGTGACGATCCAGGCAAAGAAAGAAATAGGAGCACTCTGTCTGCATTGATCTGAGTTTTATTCATGGGACAAAATACTTTATAAACACCTTACTGAGCTGAATATGTTCCTACCACCCAGGATGGTTTTGTATGTAGACAAATAAAGGCTGACTGATGAACATTTGGAATCTCCTCAATATTTGCTGATTAGAGGCAACCACCCATCATTTGACCTGCTCTTGCATCCATAATGTGGAAGCCGAATTACAAACAGAAGGATACATGCCTACAGTAGGCTACAAGGCAATGTTTGTGTTGTATATTCTAATCTCTGGATGGAACCAGACCATCTATTTCACATATAGCCTACACACTGACAAATGGGCTGTGTTCTGCTTATGCCTAGGTCTAATGATGACCCATATGTTGATTTAATTATGAAATGTTAATCCTCTATGCAGCTCATTTCCTGAGTAGTTCAGGGCCTAAAATGCCTGCTCATTCTGTCATTTGTGTACATGGTGGTCTACACTGTTATGTCACCGACTAAAGGCATTAGTCGACAGATCACATGTATTTCCCTCTCGGTCTGCTCAGGTAATCTGTTTGGCTTCCATGTCCGTTTAAACAGGATGTGAAAGCCAAAGACCTGATACACAGTATGACATATTTGTTTTATAACAGTGAGGGAAAAAAGTATTTGATCCCCTGCAGATTTTGTACGTTTGCCCACTGACAAAGAAATGATCAGTCTATAATTTTAATGGTAGGTTTATTTGAACAGTGAGAGACAGAATAACAACAAAAAAATCCAGAAAAATGCATGTCAAAAATGTTATAAATTGATTTGCATTTTAATGAGGGAAATAAGTATTTGACCCCCTCTCAATCAGAAAGATTTCTGGCTCCCAGGTGTCTTTTATTCAGGTAACGAGCTGAGATTAGGAAGACACTCTTAAAAGGAATGCTCCTAATCTCAGTTTGTTACCTGTATAAAAGACACCTGTCCACAGAAGCAATCAATCAATCAGATTTCAAACTCTCCACCATGGCCAAGACCAAAGAGCTCTCCAAGGATGTCAGGGACAATATTGTAGACCTACACAAGGCTGGAATGGGCTACAAGACCATCGCCAAGCAGCTTGGTGAGAAGGTGACAACAGTTAGTCCGATTATTCGCAAATGGAAGAAACACAAAAGAACTGTCAATCTCCCTCGGCCTGGGGCTCCATGCAAGATCTCACCTCGTGGAGTTGCAATGATCATGAGAACGGTGAGGAATCAGCCCAGAACTACACGGGAGGATCTTGTCAATGATCTCAAGGCAGCTGGGACTATAGTCACCAAGAAAACAATTGGTAACACACTACGCCGTGAAGAACTGAAATCCTGCAACGCCCGCAAGGTCCCCCTGCTCAAGAAAGCACATATACAGGGCCGTCTGAAGTTTGCCAATGAACATCTGAATGATTCAGAGGAGAACTGGGTAAAAGTGTTGTGGTCAGATGAGACCAAAATCGAGCTCTTTGGTATCAACTCAACTCGCCGTGTTTGGAGGAGGAGGAATGCTGCCTATGACCCAAAGAACACCATCCCCACCGTCAAACATGGAGGTGGAAACATTATTCTTTGGGGGTGTTTTTCTGCTAATGGGACAGGACAACTTCACCGCATCAAAGGGACGATGGACGGGGCCATGTACCGTCAAATCTTGGGTGAGAACCTCACTCCCTCAGTCAGGGCATTGAGAATGGGTCGTGGATGGGTATTCCAGCATGACAATGACCCAAAACACACGGCCAATGCAACAAAGGAGTGGCTCAAGAAGAAGCACATTAAGGTCCTGGAGTGGCCTAGCCAGTCTCCAGACCTTAATCCCATAGAAAATCTGTGGCGGGAGCTGAAGGTTTGAGTTGCCAAACGTCAGCCTCGAAACCTTAATGACTTGGAGAAGATCTGCAAAGAGGAGTGGGACAAAATCCCTCCTGAGATGTGTGCAAACCTGGTGGCCAACTACAAGAAATGTCTGACCTCTGTGATTGCCAACAAGGGTTTTGCTACCAAGTACTAAGTCATGTTTTGCAGAGGGGTCAAATACTTATTTCCCTCATTAAAATGCAAATCAATTCATAACATTTCTGACATACGTTTTTCTGTATTTTTTTGTTTGTTATTCTGTCTCTCACTGTTCAAATAAACCTACCATTAAAATTATAGACTGATCATGTCTTTGTCAGTGGGCAAACGTACAAAATCAGCAGGGGATCAAATACTTTTTATCCCTCACTGTAACTCTATGGTTTAATTTGCGACCATTCTGATTGCATTGGCTATGCTCCTATAAACATTGGTAGTCTGTGCTGCCTGGAGTTTTGATTTGGTAGCACAAGTCCGCCTAGAAGTATATTGTCCCAGATGAACATTGAATGGCAAAATTATGTTTGTGCCATTTGGAGTAGCCTAAGCAAAGTTGCTACATTTGTATCGTTTCGTGTCGGTAGGCCTACGCTCTGGCTGTTGTTACATTTGTATAATTATTTGAGCGGTACAAAGTTGGTGCATTGTATCATTTCAACTCACCTGTGAGGGTGAACAGGAAATTCAGCAACTCTTGGAGGACAGTAGAAGTTAAAAGTCGAGTTGACTACTTGACAGTGGAAGTTTTACAGATCAAAAAATGAAGGAGGCTTGTATATATTTGAAAATGTCATCCTATGGGTTCAGGGACCAATACAAATGGGAATACAAACAAAACATTATGTGATTGGTAAATTAGTTCCAAAAATCTGACTGAATTTGAAATGACAAAACTTGTGCTATTTCATATTGTTTGGTGGTGCTAACCAGTGCTACCAATAAAAAAAAAAAGTGTATGCCCTGCTTATTGTAATAGTAGCCTACATCTTGATTAATTTAATATCTTGGACAAGGACATTTCTAATTTGATTCTATGCAGGGATAAGACATGAAGATAATGATTAATATACAAGCTGCATGTCAGTCCAGATATTACACATAGTGGGGGGTTGTTAAGCCTAAGAAGTGTGTGTGCATGTGTGTACTTTATGTGACATCTGTGTTGTATCTACAGGGATATCAGGGTATGGTAGATGGTGGAGAAGAGAACATAATGGAGGCCAGTTGGGAAAGTGTCTCCAGCATGTTACAAATGGTGAGTACTGTACCATCCATGTAGGACAGAAATACATTACCAGTCAAAAGTTTGAACACTCCTACTCATTCAAGGGTTTTTCTTTATTTTTACTATTTTTTACATTGTACAATAATAGTGAAGACATCAAAACTATGAAATAACACATATGGAATCATGTAGTAACCCAAAAAGTGTTAAACAAATCAAAATATATTTTATATTTGAGATTCTTCAAATAGCCACCCTTTTCGTTGATGACAGCTTTGCACACTCTGGTAATGTAGATGACCACACACTGAATCACAGTAGCCTATTTACAAAACCCATAGACATAGACATAGCAATAATTGATTGGTGTGAGTAGGCATCTTGCATCTGTGCTGTTTTTTTACATCCACGTTCAATGTTTGTGTAATGCCACCATGCCAGGGTGGCACCGTCATTGGCAGTGCCCGGTGCAAGGAGTTCCGGTCCCACGAGGGGCGTCTGAAGGCAGCCCACAACCTGGTGCAGCGTGGCATCACCAACCTGTGTGTGATCGGAGGGGACGGCAGCCTCACTGGGGCCAACCTCTTCAGAGAGGAGTGGAGCGGACTGCTGGAGGAACTGGTCCAGCAAGGTGGGGAATTGGGCTGGTTTTGTTTTTTACCAGGGACAGGAGAGGGGTTAGGGAAAAAAGATCGCAAGGTGGGGACTGGCACTTTGTTTCTAGTGGGGACAGGAGAGGAGTTAGAGAGAGCGGGATGGCAGAGAAAAAGGTGGACTGCAGAAGGGTTTGTTTGTAGTGGGGACAGACAGGGGCATGAGGTAGGGGTCATTGAGAGAGAGCTTAGAGAAAGGTAGGGGCTGTATAGAGAGAGGTCATACTGACAGGGTGACATATTGACCCTGAAAAGAAGTGGAAATGTCAAGTTTGGTAATGTGGTAGGCTGAACAGTCTTAAAAGTGTATTTGCAGATGAGTTAATCCATTGTGAGCTTTCTGCTAGAACAGGATAATAAATCCCCAAATGTTTTTAATCTGAAAGGATTTGTCCGGGAAGGCAAAAACTCTGTCCTATGACATTGTTTTTATTTGAGAATGAATTGGTCGTAGTTTCTCATTGTGTACCTGTGTTGGCTGTTTCATATCCTACCTCAGAATGGAGCTACAATGTCAAGTTAGTCTTTCTGCATAGAAGTTATGGCTAATCCCGCCTCACATTGAAGAGACAGGGATCTTGGAATAAATAGCTTTCTTTTATTTCAATCTTTGTCACAAAAGTATATAATTGTATTGTTTTTAAACTTTGCAACAGGGTTGATTAATGAAGATGCTGTCCAGAAGTATTCAGCCCTGCACATCGTCGGGATGGTGGGGTCTATCGACAACGACTTCTGTGGCACCGACATGACAATTGGGACGGACTCTGCCCTGCACAGGATCATAGAGGTGGTGGATGCAATCATGACCACTGCACAGAGGTTAGCAATAGTAGCTTTAACAAAAGTTCTTCGAGTTTTTACTTTATCTGGGTTAGCTGTGAACATATGATTCTCTCAAATGTCATCTTCTCACTCGCTATCTCTCTTTCAGCCACCAGAGGACATTTGTGCTGGAGGTCATGGGCAGGCATTGTGGGTAAGACAGACACAGACTTTTAAACGTATTTAAACATTGATATGCTAACACACCTTATGTGTGACCTTGTGTGTGAGTTCAGATCCGTCCCGTGGGGCCAATGGGTGCTGTTTTATGACTAGTGTGTGTTTGTGTGTGTGTCCATGTTTGTGTGTCCGTGCGTATGTGCGTGGGTGTGTGTCTGTGTGTGTCTGTGTGTGTCTGTCTCCAGATACCTGGCCTTAGTGAGTGCCCTGGCGTGTGGTGCTGACTGGGTGCTGATCCCTGAGATGCCCCCTGAGGACGGCTGGGAGGAGAAGATGTGTCAGAAACTATCTGCGGTAATGTATTAACTTAGCACTCCTTTAACCTCACAACACTTCTCACTAATATGTAATGCTCTTTCACTATCCAGTTCGCTCTGTTTCGTTGTTGTAGTATATATTGAACAATTTACAATAAATTATTACTTTTAGAATAAAATGAAGTTAGCCTAACCAAGAATTGCAACAAGTTCAGTTCAATGTCACATAAGGCTAACATTGAGATACGATCTGATCTGCAGTTATTTGGTAATGTTACAGTAATTTACTTGTGTGTTATTGTGCTGTTTTCTGTTTGGAAATAAAATGTTATGGTCCAGACTCGCTCCAGGGGTTCAAGGTTGAACATAATCATAGTGGCTGAGGGAGCCATTGACAGACATGGGAAAGCTATAACCGGTAGTGTTGTCAAGGACGTGAGTACCTTAGCGTGTTACAGGGCCAAAACCAAAAGTACGGAGGCCCAACAGCGTCAAAACAGTCCACTGGCAAACGAGCAGAGTATTATGGGGTTGGTGTCATATTATGTGTTGACACCAAGTTAGTAAATTATTTGATAGTAAGGACATTTTCAAATAAAGAGATTATGACAATCTTTGGTTAATATGTCGCCAAGAATTAACACTTGCTCTCTGGTCCATGGACAATTTTCTCACAGTCTGGCCCTCTGTCTTTTGCGAGCCAAGCCAAACCTCTGTTTTAGTTTCTGTCATGTGTCTTCCATCCCTCCCTCATATAGAACCGGGCAGGAATGAAAAGGCTGAATATCATAATAGTAGCCGAGGGGGCAATTGATTGTAACAACAAGCCCATAACGACAGACCATGTCAAGGATGTAAGTACAGCTATCTCAGGCCTATAGCAGACAACTCCTGCTAGGCCTCTATTGCTACCCTACTGCCCTTGGTGTGGCTTCACTCTCGCTGACTGTGCCCTCTGGTATGAATGCTCTGATGCACACACACACTCTGTGGTAAGACAGCATTCACCACTGCTTCCTGAGTGGCCTCAAACTTAATTTACAGCTCATAAACTGCTTTTGCCCTCTACCATCTTGATTTGCTGTATGACAGCTTACCCAGATACGTTTTAGTAACCTACAGTGCCTTGCAAAAGTATTCATCCCCCTTGGTGTTTTTTCCTATTTTGTTGCATTACAACCTGTAATATAAATTGATTTTTATTTGGATTTCATGTAATGGACATACACAAAATAGTCCAAATTGGTGAAGTGAAATTAAAAAAATAACTTGTTTCAGAAAAATAATTACGGAAAAGTGGTGCGTGCATATGTATTCACCCCCTTTGCTATGAAGCCCCTAAATAAGATCTGGTGCAACCAATTACTTTCAGAAGTCACATAATTAGTTAAATAAAGTCCACCTGTGTGCAATCTAAATGTCACATGATCTCAGTATATATACAGTGGGGATAAAAAGTATTTAGTCAGCCACCAATTGTGCAAGTTCTCCCACTTAAAAAGATGAGAGAGGCCTGTAATTTTCATCATAGGTACACGTCAACTATGACAGACAAATTTAGGAGAAAAAAATCCAGAAAATCACATTGTAGGATTTTTTATGAATTTATTTGCAAATTATGGTGGAAAATAAGTATTTGGTCACCTACAAACAAGCAAGATTTCTGGCTCTCACAGACCTGTAACTTCTTCTTTAAGAGGCTCTTCTGTCCTCCACTCGTTATCTGTATTAATGGCACCTGTTTGAACTTGTTATCAGTATAAAAGACACCTGTCCACAACATCAAACAGTCACACTCCAAACTCCACTATGGCCAAGACCAAAGAGCTGTCAAAGGACACCAGAAACAAAATTGTAGACCTGCACCAGGCTGGGAAGACTGAATCTGCAATAGGTAAGCAGCTTGGTTTGAAGAAATCAACTGTGGGAGCAATTATTAGGAAATGGAAGACATACAAGACCACTGATAATCTCTCTCGATCTGGGGCTCCACGCAAGATCTCACCCCGTGGGGTCAAAATGATCACAAGAACGGTGAGCAAAAATCCCAGAACCACACAGGGGGACCTAGTGAATGACCTGCAGAGAGCTGGGACCAAAGTAACAAAGCCTACCATCAGTAAAACACTACGCCGCCAGGGACTCAAATCCTGCAGTGCCAGACGTGTCCCCCTGCTTAAGCCAGTACATGTCCAGGCCCGTCTGAAGATTGCTAGAGTGCATTTGGATGATCCAGAAGAGGATTGGGAGAATGTCATATGGTCAGATGAAACCAAAATATAACTTTTTGGTAAAAACTCAACTCGTCGTGTTTGGAGGACAAAGAATGCTGAGTTGCATCCAAATAACACCTTACCTACTGTGAAGCATGGGGGTGGAAACATCATGCTTTGGGGCTGTTTTTCTGCAAAGGGACCAGGACGACTGATCCGTGTAAAGGAAAGAATGAATGGGGCCATGTATCGTGAGATTTTGAGTGAAAACCTCCTTCCATCAGCAAGGGCATTGAAGATGAAACGTGGCTGGGTCTTTCAGCATGACAATGATCCCAAACACACCGCCCGGGCAACGAAGGAGTGGCTTCGTAAGAAGCATTTCAAGGTCCTGGAGTGGCCTAGCCAGTCTACAGATCTCAACCCCATAGAAAATCTTTGGAGGGAGTTGAATGTCTGTGTTGCCCAGCGACAGCCCCAAAACATCACTGCTCTAGAGGAGATCTACATGGAGGAATGGGCCAAGATACCAGCAACAGTGTGTGAAAACCTTGTGAAGACTTACAGAAAATGTTTGACCTGTGTCATTGCCAACAAAGGGTATATAACAAAGTATTGAGAAACTTTTGTTATTGACCAAATACTTATTTTCCACCATAATTTGCAAATAAATTCATAAAAAATCCTACAATGTGAAGAAAATCTCATTTTGTCTGTCATAGTTGACGTGTACCTATGATGAAAATTACAGGCCTCTCTCATCTTTTTAAGTGGGAGAACTTGCACAATTGGTGGCTGACTAAATACTTTTTTTCCCCACTGTACACCTGTTCTGAAAGGCCCCAGAGTCTGCAACACCACTAAGCAAGGGGCACCACCAAGCAAGCGGCACCATGAAGACCAAGGAGCTCTCCAAACAGGTCAGGGACAAAGTTGTGGAGAAGTACAGATCAGGGTTGGGTTATAAAAAAATATCTGAAACTTTGAACATCCCACGGAGCACCATTAAATCCATTATTAAAAAATGGAAAGAATATGGCACCACAACAAACCTGCCAAGAGAGGGCCGCCCACCAAAACTCACGGACCAGGCAAGGAGGGCATTAATCAGAGAGGCAACAAAGAGACCAAAAATAACCCTGAAGGAGCTGCAAAGCTCCACAGCGGAGATTGGAGTATCTGTCCATAGGACCACTTTAAGCCGTACACTCCGCAGAGCTGGGCTTTATGGAAGAGTGGCCAGAAAAAAGCCATTGCTTAAAGAAAAAAATAAGCAAACACGTTTGGTGTTCGCCAAAAGCCATGTGGGAGACTCCCCAAACATATGGAAGAAGGTACTCTGGTCAGATGAGACTAAAATTGAGCTTTTTGGCCATCAAGGAAAACGCTATGTCTGGCGCAAACCCAACACCTCTCATCACCCCGAGAACACCATCCCCACAGTGAAACATGGTGGTGGCAGCATCATGCCAAAAGGCATGTGGGAGACTCCCCAAACATATGGAAGAAGGTACTCTGGTCAGATTAGTTAGTTAGTTAGTTAGTTAGTTATGCACGCTCAAGTTTTCTGCTTTTTTGTCTTATTTCTTGTTTGTTTCACACAAAAATTATTTTGCATCTTCAAAGTGGTAGGCATGTTGTGTAAATCAAATGATACAAACCCCCCAAAAATCAATTTTAATTCCAGGTTGGTAGGCAACAAAATAGGAAAAATGCCAAGGGGGTGGATACTTTCGCAAGCTACTGTACATGTCTAGCCAGGCCTATGGAACGCATTGTAAAGAGATACATTTTGTACAAAACGCATCAGCACAGCTGTGAAATAGACTATAAATGGAAAATAATTTAATTGCATTGTTAATAATTTAGAAAATTAAGTCCTTTATAATCTAGCACAGGATGACACAAGAATTTAGGCAAAGCATTTAATCCAGCTTGTGCTTGAATGTCTTTTTATTTATTTAGTTGTATCACATTTTGAAAGTCAACCTTTTTTAAGCATGGGATCTTTGGTCTGTGCATCTTATAAAGACCCCACTAACATGACTGAAAATAAGGAGGATAGATTGCATGTGCATTGTGTTTTTACCTTTGCTCAACCCTTCAGCTTGTGAGAGTATTTTCTCTTCGTGGTTTATTACAAATGTGTGTGTCTAGAATATCTTATGTAAAATAGACCTTCATAAAAATAAAACAATTCTGATAGTTTACTTACAGTACGTGAAGAAAAAAAAAAGTGCTTTAGTATTTAGCCTAGTATTAGATCTAGCATTAGTATTTTGCATTACCATTACTCCTATACCATTACTATAGGACAGACTTTAAAAGATTGTCGCTAAAACATGGTTCCTGTTGTCCCAGCTTGTTGTCAGATGCCTGGGGTTTGACACCCGTGTGACAATCCTGGGCCACGTCCAGAGAGGAGGAACCCCCTCTGCCTTCGACCGTATCCTGGTAGGTATTCTGACCGTATTCTGACCATATTCTTGACCGTTTTCTACATCTACAGTACTATAGTGTTCTAGCCTGGTCCCAGATCTGTTTGTGCTGTCTTGCCAAATCCTATGCTTGGCGTGATAATGACCATAAAAGCTGAGAGGACAGTACAAACAGATCTGGGACCAGGCTAGTAGTGTACAGCAGTCCCACTAGATTAATCCTGTGGAAGACATGCACTCACTAGGCCTGGGGAGGAAACAACTGCTGGTTTTAGGTTAAGCACATTAACAGATTTGATGGCAAGGCATGTGTGCTGATGTAGGCCTACTGGTGTATCATAGAGAGAGGGAGAAATCCAGGGCTGAAAAGCTCTTCCATTTTGCCTACATCCTCTGAAATACAACAAATGAAAAGAGAAAGCGAGAGAGCATGAAAACATCCAGAGGAAGAGAGAGAATCTGAGGGAGAAAGAGTGAAACAGAGAGTGAAAGAGCTAATCCTTGTGTGAGCTCAGGCAAAGAGGAAGAGATGTCGGTATCTGTTTAATGTGGTCCTGTTTGGCTCAGTTGCTAAGAGCATTACCCTAGCAATGCCAATGTCTTGGGTTCAATTCCAACAGGGATCACCTGCTGTACATGTACTAAAATGCACTCGCTGTATTGTACATTGCTCTAGAGAAAAGTGTCTAGCTGTGGCATCTTTCCTATCTTATGATGTGTGGCTGTGTGTCCTCTCCAGGCCAGTCGTATGGGTGTGGAGGCTGTCATTGCCCTGTTGGAGACTACAGCTAACACACCAGCCTGTGTGGTCTCTCTGTGTGGAAACCAGGCGGTGAGACTGCCTCTCATGGAGTGTGTACAGATGGTAGGTAGACAAGAGTACTGTAGCCAGGACAAGGCCTCTTACTACTACACACATACATACATACACACACACACACACACACACACACACACACACACACAGAGGAATGAGAGAATTGCCTGATTGGAAACATAAGTGCATAAATTGGGATCTGGGATAAGTGTTGTTTTGTTCTCTGAGCAAGGTGTTTTTCTGGTTCATCGTTATCCAAGGCATGTGGCTGCCTGTTGCTATTTTTTTTATTTTTTTTTATTTCACCTTTATTTAACCAGGTAAGCCAGTTGAGAACAAGTTCTCATTTACAACTGCGACCTGGCCAAGATAAAGCAAAGCAGTGCAATAAAAACAACAAACACAGAGTTACATATGGAATAAACAAAACGTACAGTCAATAACACAATAGAAAATCTATATACAGTGTGTGCAAATGTAGTGAATGATGGAGGTAAGGCAATAAATAGGCCATAGTGCAAATTAATTACAATTTAGTATTAAGACTGGAATGATAGATGATGTGCAAATAGATATACTGGGGTGCAAATGAGCAAAATAAATAACAATATGGGGATGAGGTAGTTGGGTGGGCTAATTACAGATGGGCTGTGTACAGGTGCAGTGATCGGTACGCTGCTCTGACAACTGATGCTTAAAGATAGTGAGGGAGATAAGTGTCTCCAGCTTCAGAGATTTTTGCAGTTCGTTCCAGTCATTTGCAGCAGAGAACTGGAAGGAATGGTGGCCAAAGGAGGTGTTGGCTTTGGGGATGACCAGTGAAATATACCTGCTGGAACGCATACTACGGGTGGGTGTTGCTATGGTGACTAATGAGCTAAGATAAGGTGGGGATTTGCCTAGAAGAGATTTATAGATGACCTGGAGCCAGTGGGTTTGGCGACGAATATGTAGTGATGGCCAGCCGACGAGAGCGTACAGGTCACAATGGTGGGTAGTATATGGGGCTTTGGTGACAAAACGGATGGCACTGTGATAGACTACATCCAATTTGCTGAGTAGAGTGTTGGAAGCTATTTTGTAAATGACATCGCCAAAGTCAAGGATCGGTAGGATAGTCAGTTTTACGAGGGCATGTTTAGCAGCATGAGTGAAGGAGGCTTTGTTGCAAAATAGGAAGCCGATTCTAGATTTAACTTTGGATTGGAGATGCTTAATGTGAGTCTGGAAGGAGAGTTTACGGTCTAACCAGACACCTAGGTATTTGTAGTTGTCCACATATTCTATGTCAGACCTGCAGAGGGTAGTGATTCTAGTCGGGTGGGCGGGTGCAAGCAGCGTTCGATTGAAGAGCATGCATTTAGTTTTACTAGCGTTTTAAGAGCAGTTGGAGGCCACGGAAGAATTGTTGTATGGCATTGAAGCTCGTTTGGAGGTTTCTTAACACAGTGTCCAATGAAGGGCCAGATGTATACAAAATGGTGTCATCTGCGTAGAGGTGGATCTGAGAGTCACCAGCAGCAAGAGCGACATCATTGATATACACAGAGAATAGAGTCAGCCCGAGAATTGAACCCTTTGGCACCCCCATAGAGACTGCCAGAGGTCCAGACAACAGGCCCTCCGATTTGACACATTGAACTCTATCTGAGAAGTAGTTGGTGAACCAGGCGTGGCAGTCATTTGAGAAACCAAGGCTATTTAGTCTGCCAATAAGAATGCGGTGATTGACAGAGTCAAAAGCCTTGGCCAGGTCGATGAAGATGGCTGCACAGTACTGTCTTTTATCGATCGCGGTTATAATATCGTTTAGGACCTTGGGGGGGCATGGGCAAGTTTCAGCGGAGGGTGCAGAGCTGGTGGCCGGGGTAGGGGTAGCCAGGTGGAAAGCATGGCCAGCCGCAGCAAAATGCTTATTGAAATTCTCGATTATCGTAGATTTATCGGTGGTGACAGTGTTTCCTAGCCTCAGTGCATTGGGTAGCTGGGAGGAGGCGCCCTTATTCTCCATGGACTTTACAGTGTCCCAAAACTTTTTGGAGTTAGTGCTACAGGATGCACATTTCTGTTTGAAAAAGCTAGCCTTTGCTTTCCTAACTGATTGTGTATATTGGTTCCTGACTTACCTGAAAAGTTGCATATCCCGGGGGCTGTTCAATGCTAATGCAGTACGCCACAGGATGTTTTTGTGCTGGTCAAGAGCAGTCAAGTCTGGGGTGAACCAGGGGCTATAGCTGTTCTTAGTTCTGAATTGTTTGAATGGGGCATGCTTATTTAAGATGGAGAGGAAAGCACTTTTGAAGAACATCCAGGCATCCTCTACTGACGGAATGAGGTCAATATCCATCCAGGATACCCGGGCCAGGTCAATTAGAAAGGCCTGCTTGCTGAAGTGTTTTAGGGAGCATTTGACAGTGATGAGGGGTGGTCGACTCATTACGGATGCAGGCAATGAGGCAGTGATCGCTGAGATCCTGGTTGAAGACAGTGGAGGTGTATTTAGAGGTTAAATTAGTCAGGATGATATCTATGAGGGTGCCCATGTTTACGGATTTAGGGTTGTACCTGGTAGGTTCCTTGATAATTTGTGTGAGATTGAGGGCATCTAGTTTAGATTGTAGGATGGCCGGGGTGTTAAGCATATCCCAGTTTAGGTCACCAAGCAGTACGAACTCTGAGGATAGATGGGTGGCAAGCAATTCACATATGGTGTCCAGGGCACAACTGGGGGCTGAGGGGGGTCTGTAGCAAGCGGCAACAGTGAGAGACTTATCTCTACAGTAGATTGCAACTCCGCCCCCTTTGGCAGTTCTATCTAGACGGAAAATGTTGTAATTCGGGATGGAAATTTCTGAATTTTTGGTGGCCTTCCTAAGCCAGGATTCAGACACTGCTAGAACATCAGGGTTGGCAGAGTGTGCTAATGCAGTGAATACCTCAAACTTGGGGAGGTGGCTTCTGATGTTGACACGCAAGAATCCAAGGCTTTTACGGTTACAGAAGTCAACAAATGATAGCGCCTGGGGAGTAGGAGTGATACTGGGGGCTACAGGGCCTGTGTTAACCTCTACCTCACCAGAGGAACAGAGGAGGAATAGACTAAGGATACAGCTAAAGGCTTTAAGAACTGGTCTTCTAGTGCGTTGGGTACAGAGAATAAAAGGGGCAGATTTCCGGGCGTTGTAGAATAGATTCAGGGCATTATGTACAGACAAGGATATGGAAGGATATGAGTACAGTGGAGGTACACCTAAGCATTGGGTAACGATGAAAGAGGTAGCATCCCTGGAGGTACCGATTGAGCCGGTCTCCGCGTGTATGGGGGGTGGGACAAAGGAGCTCTCTGAGGCTGGTTGAGCGGGACTGGAGGTTATACAGTGAAATAGTACAATAAGAACTAGCCCAAACAGCAATAGGCTAGGCATATTGACATGGGAGAGAGGCATAACGCAATCACAGGTGTTATTCGAGAGGGCTAAGACAACAACTGGTAATGGCGACGAAAGTTTGGGCTGAGGCTAAACAGATAAACAGGATATGGTACCGTGCAAAAGAACAGTCCAGCAGGCATCAGCTGTGTAGCTGAGTGATCATAAGGACCAGTGAACAGCAATAGCTATGTCCGGGAGCAGTTTGTAGGCTGCTACAGCACAGGCGAGCAGGAGGCACGGCTGTTGATTGCGCGTGCTAGCGGGCCGGGGCTAGCAGATGGAACTTTGTGGTCGTCGCAACGGGAAGCCTGTTGGAACCACATCAGACGATTATGTCGGCAGACCAGTCGTGATGGATCGGCAGGGCTCCGTGTCGAAACTAGGCGGTCCCGTCCGGTTGACAGAGCGGTAGATAGCCGGGAGATGGGCCTGGCTCGAGGCTAGCTCAAGGCTAACTGGTGCATCGGGACAGTGGTGAATTAGCCAACAACAGCCATTCGGTTGCAGCTAGCTAGTTGCGATGATCCGGTGTTAAGGTCCAGTGATTCATTGATTCCGGCAGAAAATCCGATATGCTCTGGGTCGATAGCACGCTGTGCAGACCGATAATTGTCCAGGCTAGAGCTGGCTGGTAGGTAGTGCAGGCCACGGACAGTGGTGAAGACCGCTAACAGTGGCTAATAGCAAGTATTCATGGCCTGCGATGTGATGATGTAATGTCATTTAAGCCTGGCTAGTTCAACTACACCGGCTATTCCCCCAGGGGTACAGTTGAAGTCGGAAGTTTACATACACCTTAGCCAAATACATTTAAACTTAGTTTTTCACAATTCCTGACATTGTATCCTTGTAAAAATTCCCTGTCTTAGGTCAGTTAGGATCACCACTTTATTCTAAGAATGTGAAATGTCAGAATAATAGTAGAGATAATTATTTATTTCAGCTTGTATTTCTTTCATCACATTCCCAGTAGGTCAGAAGTTTACATACACTCAATTAGTTTTTTGGTAGCATTGCCTTTAAATTGTTTAACTTGGGTCAAACGTTTCAGGTAGCCTTCCACAAGCTTCCCACAATAAGTTGGGTGAATTTTGGCCCATTCCTCCTGACAGAGCTGGTGTAACTGAGTCAGGTTTGTAGGCCTCCTTGCTCGCACACGCTTTTTCAGTTCTGCCCACACATTTCTATAGGATTGAGGTCAGGGCTTTGTGATGGTCACTCCAATACCTTGACTTTGTTGTCCTTAAGCCATTTTGCCACAACTTAGGAAGTATGCTAGGGGTCATTGTTCATTTGGAAGGCCTATTTGCGACCAAGCTTTAACTTCCTGACTGATGTCTTGAGATGTTGCTTCAATATATCCACATCATTTTCCTTCCTCATGATGCCATCTATTTTGTGAAGTGCACCAGTCCCTCCTGAAACAAAGCACCCCCACAGCATGATGCTGCCACCCTCGTGCTTCACGGTTGGGATGGTGTTCTTCGGCTTGCAAGCCATCCCCTTTTTCCTCCAAACATAATGATTGTGGCGGGAATGTAGTCATAGCGGGTTGTACACCTATCAGTTGGTGTCCAGTTCCTGGAGGAGGAGAAGGAAAGGACGTATTCGTTCTGTGGCACCATAGAGTACATGGCTCCAGAGATCATCAGGGGGAAGTCTGGTCATGGAAAGTCGGTAGATTGGTGGAGTCTGGGGATCCTGATGTTTGGTCATTATGGCCAAACAGTTCTATTTTTGTTTCATCAGACCAGAGGACATTTCTCCAAAAGTACGATCTTTGTCCCCATGTACAGTTGCAAACCGTAGGCTTTTTTATGGCGGTTTTGGAGCAGTGACTTCTTCCTTGCTGAGCGGCCTTTCAGGTTATGTTGATATAGGACTCGTTTTACTGTGGATATAGATACTTTTGTACCTGTTTCCTCCAGCATCTTCACAAGGTCCTTTGCTGTTGTTCTGGGATTGATTTGCACATGGTGTTTATACTTGCGTACTATTGTTTGTACAGATGAACGTGGTACCTTCAGGCGTTTGGAAATTGCTCCCAAGGATGAACCAGACTTGTGGAGGTCTACATTATTTTTTCTGAGGTCTTGGCTGACTTCTTTTGATTTTCCCATGATGTCAAGCAAAGAGGCAGAGAGATTGAAGGTAGGCCTTGAAATACATCCACAGGTACACCTCCAATTGACTCAAATGATGTCAATTAGCCTATCAGAAGCTTCTAAAGCCATGACATCATTTTCTGGAATTTTCCAAGCTGTTTAAAGGCACAGTCAACTTAGTGTATGTAAACTTCTGACCCACTGTAATTGTCATACAGTGAATTATAAGTGAAATAATCTGTCTGTAAACAATTGTTGGAAAAACGTATTGTGTCATGCACAAAGTAGATGTCCTAACCGACTTGCCAACTTGTTAACAAGAAATTTGTGGAGTGGTTGAAAAACGAGTTTTAATGACTCCAACCTAAGTGTATGTAAACCTCCGACTTCAACTGTACACGAAATGCCGTCGGGGGTACACCAAATAAAAATGTGATTCACATTTTCAAACAGTCCATTTAGATTTTACAACAGGGCTATACATTTGGGTGATGTTTTTTTCTCGCCTGAGTAGCCTAATTTCACTGCCAAAAATACAATTAAACCATATAGTGTTCAGCTAAATAACAACACAATGTCAAATACAGGTAGCCTGGTCAAATATTTAACATCCAATCACATTGACAGTTACTCTCTCGCGGGAATTCCACTAACGGTCCGTATGTAGCCAAACGTAGCTGCTGCTCATTCCGTTTGCTCGAAAATGGATAAAAGGTTAAAAAAAAGTACGGCCCACGTCCATAGAGACTCATACCAGCTCTACTGGTAGTGCTGCTACTACCAGCAATACTACACCTGCACCTGTCGACGACACAAGTTGTTCTGCTTCCACGAGCACATCCAATGCTAGCATCAGTAATTCTACATTTGTTGCTAGCCCAGCTAGCATGGACCCTGACAGTTATGGATCTGATGCAGCCGAAGAGCTACTGCCCCCTTACCCGGGAAAGCACCGAACAACAGACAGGGACGTTGGACCATCGAAGAGGCGCAAGTATGATGAGAACTACATTGATTTGGGGTTCACTTATATTGGGAGTAGTGCCTTTCCTCAGCCACAATGTGTAATTTGTGCAAAAGTACTATCTCACAACTTAATGAAACCTTCACTCTTGCACAGACATTTAGAAACGAAACATGCCAATTTGAAAAATAAGCCACAGGAGTTTTTTGAGCGAGAATTATGACCATTTTCGATTAGTAAGACATGTATAAAAGCAATAGATACCATTAATAAGAAGGGGCTAGAAGTGTCTTATATGGTGAGCTACCGAGTGGCTAGGACAGGCAAGCCCCATACTATTGTGGAGGACTTAATTCTTCCTGCTGGGGGATATGGCTGGGACAATGCTGGGGGGAAAAGGCCAAATAAAACGATACAGACAATGCCTTCATCAAACAACACTGTTTCACGACGCATCAGTGACATGGCAGGAGATGTTTTGAAACAATTACTGCTTTGCATACAAGCAAGTGAATTCTATGCGTTACAGCTGGATGAGTCAACAGACGTGGCGGGCCTGGCACAGCTCCTGGTATATGTCCGTTACGTTTATGGAGGGTCAATTAAGGAAGACATCCTCTTCTGGAAACCAGGAGAACAGGAGAGGATATTTTTTGTGACATCAAATGGACTTTGGTGGTCAAGATGTGTTGGTATCTGTACTGATGGCGCAGAAGCCATGACAGGGAGACATAGTGGAGTGGTAACGTGCATGCAAGAAGTTGCTCCCGACGCCACTTGGGTACACTGCAGCATCCACCAAGAGGCTCTTGCTGCCAAGGGAATGCCTGGCAGCTTGAAATACGTTTTGGACACTACAGTGAAAATTGTTAACTTTGTTAAAGCAAGGCCCCTGAACTCTCGTGTATTTTCTGCATTATGCAATGATATGGGCAGCGACCATGTAATGCTTTTACAACATACAGAAGTGCGCTGGTTATCAAGGAGCAAAGTATTGAGACGTTTTTTTGAATTGAGAGGCAAACTTAAAGTTTTCTTTACTGACCATAATTTTTACTTGTCTGACCGCTTGCATGATGACACGATTCTCACACGACTGGCCTATCTGGGTGATGTTTTTTCTCGCCTGAATGATCTGAATCTAGGATTACAGGGTCTCTCCGCAACTATATTCAATGTGCGGGACAAAATTGAGGCTATGATTAAGAAGTTGGAATTCTTCTCTGTCTGCATTAACAAGGACAACACACAGGTCTATTCATCATTATATGATTTTTTTGTGTGCAAATGAACTCAAGCTTACGGACAATGTCAAATGTGATATAGCGAAGCCCCTGAGTGAGCTGGGTGCGCAATTACGCAGGTACCTTCCCGAAACGGACGACACAAACAACTGGATTTGGTATCCCTTTCATGCCCTGCCTCCAGTCCACTTACCAATATCTGAACAAGAGAGCCTCATCAAAATTGCAACAAGCAGTTCTGTGAAAATTTAATTTAATCAAAAGCCACTGCCAGATTTCTGGATAGGGCTGCGCTCAGAGTATCCTGCCTTGGCAAATCGCGCTGTTAAGACACTGATGCCCTTTGCAACCACGTACCTATGTGAGAATGGGTTCTCGGCCCTCACTAGCATGAAAACTAAATACAGGCACAGACTGCGTGTGGAAAATGATTTAAGACTGAGACTCTACAATACAACCCAACATTGCAGAGTTATGTGCATCCTTTCAAGCACACCCGTCTCATTAACCTGGGGTGAGTTATTCACAATTATTGATGAACAAATAAGGATTTATATGGAAGATGGCTAAATAAAGAGCAAAACTATTGATTATTATTATTTGTGCCCTGGTCCTATAAAAGCTCTTTGTCACTTCCCACGAGCCGGGTTGTGACACAAACTCACACTCATCCTTATGTTTAATAAATGTATCGTATAGTGTGTGTGGCAGGCTTACAATGATGGCAAAAAACAACATTTGAGAGTGCGCTGACCCTGGTGCTAGAGGGGGTATGCAGCTGGAGGTTGAATGTTTGAAGGGGTACGGGAACCACTGAACTACAAAAAGCAGCTCTCAACTACTGCCCTGCAAAACATTTTGATCTTACCTAGATATCGCTTACCATTAGAATGCATTGACTTGACGTCTTACTAAGGCAGGAATCATATACACATTCGAATAATGTATGAACTCACTGTATAAGTCACTCGGAATAAAAGTGTCTGCTAATTAGCATGCAAATGTGAATCTGCTTTGGTTCACCAGACTCAAGAGGTGCAGAAAGCCATGGATGAGAAGAAGTTTGAAGAGGCAGTGAAGCTGCGCGGCAGGTACAGCAACATCACCAACCACTGTAGTGGCTTTGTACAGCTGCAGCCACAACCACCAGCCCAGTATGAAATATTAGGGACAGTGACCTAACGGTTTCTCATGCTGATGCTAGTAGGCCCCTGACACATGACCTACTGGGGCGGTGACACACACACACACCCACACACACACACACACACACACACACACACACACACACCCACACCCACACACACACACACGAACACACACACCCACACACACACACACACACATACAGAGCGAGAGAGAGGAGCGGCCAGCGTGAAAGGACCTGGTCAGGCAGTAAATTAGATCACTATGTTACGTCAGGGTCACCCAGTTTGTTCTAGCTCTGCCTCCCAGTTTGGAATGAGTTGGAGTTCACTGAGGGACATCCTCTTCACCAGTTAGGACATTGCATCCCCATTTACAGTACAACAGTAGTGGGCTAATGGGGAGGAACTTGTTATTATTAGGGACAGGAGTTTTTCCTGACCACCTGATCTGGTTAAGAAACACTCTGGACCCTAGTGATAACCTAAAACTACTGCAGGACCTAGAAGTGTTCCTGGTCATGTGGTCATGAATCACTCCTGGTCCCACTTATTAACAGGATGCTAGGATCAATTGTATGGGTCTGTAGGGCCTTATTATATCATTGATTTTGGTATCAGTTTGTGCTAATGTGCCGAAGTGGATTTGTATTTCTTTGTATTTGTGCAATTTGATTTGTATTGTATCTATATTGTAAGACGTCTTTCCCTTTTTTGTCTAATTGCAGGAGTTTTGAAAACAATCTGAAGACATACAAGCTCCTGGCTCATCGAAAACTAGAATCTGAACTCCCACATGTAAGTCAATCACAGGTCATGAGTTGTTTTATGTTTGCTGAAGTCTCCCTCCCCATATTCCTGTAAAATCTATAACAGGAAGAATGTTTATTTTGCACACGACTTCCACTCCCAAGTCCATTGTCCAGAATCTTTTCCATCAATGTTGCATGTTCTAACATATCAGCATGGTCTATCTGGCTGTCTAAGCTAGCAAGAGGTATGCCTATGGCCTAGCCTTAACATTTGATTTATTTAACTAGGCAAGTCAGTTAAGAACAAATTGTTATTTACAATGCCGGCCTACCCCGGCCAAACTCGGATGACGCTGGGCCAATTGTGTGCCGCCCTATGGGACTCCCAACCACGGCCAGATTGTGATACAGCCTGGAATCGAACCAGTGTCAGTAGTGACACCTCTAGCACTGAGATGCAGTGCCTTAGACCGCTGCGCCACTCGGGAGTCAACATGTGGGAATGAGGCCAGAAAACTATTCTCTCCCTGCCCAGCTCTGTTGCCCCTTCCCCCGTCCCAACCTAGCTCTGTTACCCCCTGCTTAAAAGTTGTTTTTATTGTTTTCAGTTGACCGTTTTGGTTATGGTGTCTCCTGTTCCCCTTCTCCTCCCTGCAGAGTAACTTCAACATTGCTGTGCTGAACGTGGGAGCCCCCGCGGCAGGCATGAACGCTGCTGTCCGCTCTGCCGTCAGGGTGGGCATCTCTGAGGGACACAAGATGTTCGCTGTCAACGACGGCTTCGAGGGATTCTACAAGGGACAGGTATGATAAACAGACAGACAAATAAAGTAGTATTCTAATGTTCTTCTAACAAGTTATAACATATAATTGGGACTAGAAGATGCCACACAGACTCAGAGATTCACGTACAAGAATATAGATTAGATTGACTGCAATCAAACAAGATTTGCTGCCACAGGATGACACACTGACATCACTTCCCCTCCCAGGTAAGAGCAGTACCACTCTGCACCAACAGGGGACCACATGACATGGCTGACACATAATACCACTAGTTCAGTGGAGTAGGCTTGTTTTGTTATTGTCCCCCTGTGCCATTCATTTATAAAAGAGGATTCATTCCAATGAAAGACCATGATGTGTCTTGTAAATCTAGTTCTACTGGTCTTTCCCCACTGGTACTGAACTAGAAAGTCTCAGTCTCAGCTTTAGTTGCATCTAAACTCACAGCAGTAACACGAACAATTCAGTACATGGATTTGAAGCACCTGCCCAGTAGTCCCTAGATGTATTTGACAGTCATCACTGGTGAGTTTAGAATCCCCTCCTAGGTTTCTTAGACTAATATGCACAGGTTTCTTAGAGAGGGTTACATGCAGCTATGTAGTCACTGCACTCAGTGCACTGCACTGGGCAGGCCATTGAGTCCAGGTAACAACACCATCTGACTGTAAAGAGATTACCAGGGGGATGAAATTGACTGCTGCGCTACACTGCTTCTGAGTGGCTGTCTGCACTTTGTCTGCACACTACAGAATTGTGTTTCTCACTTCCTCTGGTCAAATTCTAACTAACTGTCTGTACCTCCTTCCTATAGTCTGTTATGGTTGACTGTCTGTTGATTGATGGAGGAGTTCCAATTGAACACAATGCAAATAGTGCCTGTAAAACACAACAAAAAAAATCAATCATATGACAGTTTACATAACATGTATTTGAAGATGTAGGCTACTGAATGTTTTTGACAAAATACTTATTTGGGTATAATTTGTATAGGGTAGACTGGTAAGGGCAATACAAGTTGAAGTAGGCTACAATATTTGCTCATGATGTGTTTTTGTCCCTTCAGATAAAAGAGATCAAATGGGCAGATGTCGGAGGATGGACTGGGCAAGGTGGATCTCTGTTGGGAACAAAACGGTAAAGGCTCCATCCCAAATGCAAACTTATTTGATATAATATGTCTAACTTGATTATAATATTATAATAGTTCATAATACAGCATTCAGAGAAACGTTCCTTTGAATTGAACCACAGCTCAGTGCAATTGGCTGTGGAATGTTGTTTACTGCTATATAGTCAGTAATGTAAGGGACAATTAGAACTTGGGTGGAGGGGGCTGGTCCAAAATATGGGAGGGTTGTCAATTGTATTATTTATTTTCTTTGGGGGGGGGTTTTCGGGGGTTTACATTCCCCATTTTGTAGGATTTACTATATAATTTCTTCCATATAGCCACATTTCCTCATCTGCTTGCATGCATATCCCCTATTAAGGTGTTTTGGTACTTCCCTTATGAGCTACGCTTTTCTGTACGCTTACTATACAGTCAACTCTATCCTGCCCTCTATCCATAGTGATAATAGCGGTAGGTGGATCGTTTGTCCAGATCTGCAATTGGTTAACTAGCAATCATATCACACACAAAGTCATTCAAATCTGCACACGTTTTCAATATGAATCCACAAGAAGAACATGGAGGAGTAGCTGATTGGCAGCGCAGAGGCTGGTGCGACATTGCGTATGAAAGAACAATAATCACATGAGACACTCAGCTCAAAAAGCTCCCATATTGATCTTGTTTAGGCCATACAGATTTAAATTACTATATAACAGATGCCCCTCTTCACATTTCTCAAAATGGTAAAAACAAAAATTCCCTGCCCCACTCTTCGATACAATACCAAAAGGCTAACATCTCTTGGTGAGGTCACTAGGTGTTGCAAAAATGTTGTTTAGTATTATTACAGGGGGTACCACTTTTATTGTCATTTTTTATTACGATTGTATATTTGTTCGTTGACTTGCATCACTTCTAAATATACAAATATGTTATACAGTTGATTAAATGATCCTACCTAGACTAGCCTACAACACCACAATGCAATGAATATTTGCATTATTGTTTTCTTGTACAATTATTGTTTTGAGTACAATTACACTCTAGGCTGTAAACTGCAGTGAAAATGTCATTTGAATAATGGAGCAAAAGCCCTGAATGTTTACTTCCATTCATTCCATTTGGAACAGTTGTGGGTCTACTCTCGACAGATTATAAGGTCTAGAATGACACAGTACAGGACAGTCTGGCTGTATTTTTACTTATTTTACTGATGCGCTGTCTGTTGCCTGTCATCATTCTCACAAGTTGTCATGTGGCCACATAGGCCTATGGGCCCAGCAGTCCCAGTTATTCAGAAAAGCTTCATATGTAACTTTTTGGCCGACCCGACAAAATCCACATAGAAATGTGTGTTATAGATCTGTCATTCTCATTGAAAGCAAGTCTAAGAAGCAGTAGATATGTTCTATGAGTGCTATTTCTATGCTTCCCGTGCTGAAGTTTCGTTTTTGCGTCTTTTACTTTCGGTTTTGTACACCAGCTTCAAACAGCCAAAAATACAATATTTTTGGGTTATGGAAAATATTTCACAACGGTTTAGATGGTACAATGATTCTCAACACTATACTATTAGAATTTTAGCAAATAAAACACAAAAATACCTTATTTACATAGGTATTCCGACCCTTTGCTATGAGACTTGAAATTGAGCTCAGGTACATCCTGTTTCCATTGATCATCCTTGAGATGTTTCTACAACTGGATTGGAGTCCACCTGTGGTAAATTCAATTGATTGGACATGATTTGGAAAGGCACACACCTGTCTATATAAGGTCCCACGGTTGACAGTGCATGTCAGAGCAAAAACCAAGCCATGAGGTTGAAGGAATTGTCCGTAGAGCTCCGTGACAGGATTGTGTCGAGGCACAGATCTGGGGAAGTGTACCAAAACATTTCTGCAGCATTGAAGTCCCCAAGAACCCGGTGGCCTCCATCGTTCTTAAATGGAAGAAGTTTGGAACCGCAAACACTCTTCCTAGAGCTGGCCGCCCGGCCAAACTGAGCAATCAGGGAGGTGACCAAGAACCCAATTGTCACTCTGACTGAGCTCTTGAGTTCCTCTGTGGTGATGGGAGAACCTTCCAGAAGGACAACCATCTCTGCAGCACTCCACCAATCAGACCTTTATGGTAGGGTGGCCAGACGGAAGCCACTCCTCAGTAAAAGGCACATGACAGCCCGCTTGGAGTTTGCCAAAAGGCACCTAAAGACTCTCAGACCATGAGAAACAAGATTCACTGGTCTGATGAAACCAAGATTGAACTCTTTTGCCTGAATGCCAAGCATCACGTCTGGAGGAAACCTGGCACCATCCCTACGGTGAAGCATGGTGGTGGCAGCATCATGCGGTGGGGATGTTTTTCTAGCGGCATGGGAGACTAATCAGGATCGAGGCAAAGATGAACCGAGCAAAGTACAGAGAGATCCTTGATGAAAACCTGCTCCAGAGCGCTCATACCTCAGACTGGGGCGAAGGTTCACCTTCCAACAGGACAACAACCCTAACCACACAGTCAAGACAACGCAGGAGTGGCTTCGGGACAAGTCTCTGAATGTCCTTGAGTGGCCCAGCCAGAGCCCGGACTTGAACCCGATCTAACATCTCTGGAGAGACCTGAATATAGCTGTGTAGCAACGCTCCCCATCCAACCTGACAGAGCTTGAGAGGATCTGCAGAAAAGAATGGGAGAAACTCCCCAAAATACAGGTGTGCCAAGCTTGTTGCATCATAGCCAAGAAGACTTGAGGCTGTAATCGCTGCCAAAGGTGCTTCAACAATGTACTGAGTAAAGGGTCTGAATATTTATGTAAATGTGATATTTCACATAAATTAGCAAACATCTCTAAAAACCTGTTTTGCTTTGTCCTTATGGGGTATTGTGTGTAGATTGATGAGGGAAAAAAACAATTTAATCAATTTTAGAATAAGGCTGTAATGGAACAAAATGTGGAAAAAGTAAAGGGGTCTGAATACTGTCAGAAGGCACTGTAATTCCAGCATCCAAACTGCGCACTGGCCATTCGATGAATGTAAAGAAACATCTGTTACAAAACACCAGGAAATGTAATGACATTCAGAGATTGCCAAGCCTTCGATAATGAGTAGAGAGGGATGTATTTTCTGTTAGTCGAGATTGGTATAATTTATTTGATTGTGGTGTTGAAAATGCAAACCATGATGAAGCGCTCGGAGTCTGTAATCGGTATGCAGTTATGCGTTGCTTATTGGGTGTGTTGGCACAGAAACCTGTTGGTGTAAAATCGTTGCATTTATTTTATATAATTATAAATATAGCATCAAAATGTAGAAAAACTGATTTCCCCTAGCAGATTATTGTCTGCAGCCGGCTCTGATCGTAGTGTAATGAGACGGGCAGGGAAAGTGAACTCGTCCGTGGTGGTCGGGCGAACCCTCAACCTTTCTTGCCCGTAGCCCTGTGTGACATCGACTGTGCCACAAAACCATGCTGAAGTGCACATTTCTTTTTACAGTACAAGAGGAGGGTCATGGGAAATATTTATAACGTTGGGGAGGGGTGCATTTTTTTGGACACCTCCAGTTGGACCCCCCCCCCCACCCCACACAAACACACACTAAATGTAGAACTGTCTGTAACTTTTTTGTTGCTTTATCCTGTTTACTTTTTTCTTTCTTCAGAACTCTTCCTGCAAAGCATGTTGAAAAAATTGCTGAGCAGATGCGAGCACATAACATAAATGCATTGTTAGTTATCGGAGGATTCGAGGTATGTTGACGCCTGTTGTTTTTGCTAAATAGTAGATATTATTATATTTTTTACCACTATTGCATGTATTTTACAATATATATATATATTTTTAACAAAGTTTATGACCCAAATAAAAAATGAAAAATACAGTACATTCACATTTATTATTCTGTAGATGTAAATTATTAATATGTAACTTTGTAATGTTTATTGTGTAAGTTCATCATAGAGAACATTGTTATGTTGATTTTGCCAACCCTTTCCATCAATCTGCTTCTTTGTAGCATTGGCTCGTACCCACCTGCTTTAATGCATAGCCATGCACATTATTAGGTACTTATTGTTGCATCAAGTGCACAAGTAAATGAATAATCAGTTACATTTAAGAATTTGAAAAAACAGTTGTTTCATTGTTCAGTTTTTGATTTTGAGTGTCTCGTTAGTTCAAAACCTAGAATAGATCCTTTAATTGAGGCATTCAAAACATTAAAATGAAAAGTGAACCAACGTTCTGAAACTTAAAAGATAAGTGATAATTTGGTCCCTCTGGAAAACACAAAGAGCACATTAAGTCACATAAGTCATTTCACGCACACCTGTGTAGTAGGCTCACCAGCTTTCTATATATGTGTTGTATGTGTTTGTAAGAGTGTGTTCAATTGAGTGTGTGTGTGTGTGTGTGTGTGTGTGTGTGTGTGTGTGTGTGTGTGTGTGTGTGTGTGTGTGTGTGCCTGTGCGCATGTATGCACATGTGTGTTTGAACACTGTGTGTGTATGTCTGGAGTGGTACCTGTCTGTTTCACGCTGCTGTCCGTTGTGATAGACTTGGCTCTCCCCTTGGCATCCTTTCATGTCTCCTCCTCCCTGACTGTCAGTCTGCTTCACCAGCACCACCTCGTAACTAAAACCCCTGGCTCTGGCTCTGCCCTGCAGGCCTACCTGGGACTCATGGAATTGTTAGAAGCCCGTGGGAAATATGACGAGTTCTGTGTGCCAATGGTCATGGTGCCAGCCACTGTCTCCAACAATGTGCCGGGTTCAGACCTCAGCATTGGCGCTGACACAGCTCTGAACGCCATCACTGATGTAAGCGAGGCTGGGAAAAAAAGACATAGCCACACCTACTTCCTGGTAGGCTCAGCCAATCACATAAAGGGGCAACGCTGACCTGGACCAACCCGCTCGGCCTTCCATTTACCAGCATCAACCAATCAGCTATCACGATCAGCTATCACGGCCAACATTTGCATTGATACCGTTGACAGGGCAAAAGGTTTTGGACCTGAATAGGAAAATGTTCTATTTTATTTACTGTACTAAATTTGACTAAATGTAACAATTGATTCAATAATACCATTACTGCAATTAACAACCATGCAGTGAATGTTGGCTAAATATTTCCCTCAGTTTATAACTAACAGATAAACATTCATAGCACATAGTTTGAATTTGAATAAACTTTATTGATCCCCAGAGGGGAAATTGGATGGCTGGTAAACCAAAGCCGAGTTGTCCTGTATCTCACGATACATGGCCCCATTCACTCCCAGGTAAGTGAGTAATGACATGGAGGCATGCTGTGACCGTACCTATGTGTCGTGGTGGCCACCATGTTTGCTCCAGCTGCCCCTTGACTGTGTGTGTAACTACCTACCTACCTCATTAACGAAGACCAACGGTCAACAACGTTCAGGCATTACACTGCTTAGTGTTTAATAGAACGCTCTCTTACCCTCTAAAGTGCACAAACTAACATGTAGTTGTTAAGTTGTAGTAGCTAAGAAGTTAGTAGCTGTTTAAGCTCTAGCTGACCGCTAACTGCTAACATCACATTGATACTAAGTGTGTGCTATTGCTAACTTTGCATTTTTTTTTTTTTTAGCAATCCCTTAGTAAGTGTTTTGTGTAAGGATTACAGCAAAATAGTGAACAGTTCTTTTTTTAGCACACAGCTAAATAATTTAGGGAGTGTTCATCCACCAGAATCTAGTCCAGCTATTTTTTACAAGGGTCCTTGTACAAGAGTTACTGTACAAGAGTCCTCTTTAAAGGATTATATACAGCAGTTAGGCACAACATCACAAAGTTGTTGCATGCAGTCCAAACAGCATGGTGTGAAACAACAAGGCAGAGGTCCAGTCTGGGCTACAAGTTGACCGACATCTCTTCCTCCTTCATCTCCGTCCCCCCTCCGTCATCATCCTCTTCCTCTGTTTGCTGACTTGACCAGTGCCTGTTCTGCCACCTGTGTGCCTTGCCTCCAGCCACCGTTCTAATTGGCTGACAAGTAGGCCCCGCTCCAGTGCAGTGTCACCAGCCGCGTTGAGTTGCGAAACCCAAACAGAGTTTCTGCCTCTCCATCAGATTAATCCCTTCTTCTTTCAACCCTCCAACCTCGAGTCCCCCTCCTCTCTCCTCCCTACTTCCTCTCCCAGCTCCTTACCTTAGCCTTTTCCTCCATCCTTCCCTCTCTCTTTCCTCCCTCCTTTCCCCACCCTCACACTCTCTGCCAATGGGAAGCCATAGCTGCTATCACACGGAAAGAGCCCGGAATAGCAGGGTACACTCGATCAGTGTTTCTGAGAGGTGTGTTCGACCGTCTCTCAGTCAGAAGTCTCCCTCCTGGTTGTCTAATACGTGTTCTGCTACTGCCTACTGCTCCAGGCGCTAGAGTGTCTTCTGCAGCTGTATGCGGCTCGGTCCAGCTATGAGGAGTTTTGCATCCCCATGTGTATGCTGCCTGCCACCATTAGTAACAATGTGCCTGGCACTGACCTTAGTATTGGGGCAGACACAGCCCTCAATTCCATCGTGGAGGTAAGGGACAAACCCCCACCAAGATCACACTACTAGGATGTATGCACTCACTAACTGTAAGTCGCTCTGGATAAGAGCGTCTGCTAAATGACTAAAATGTAAATGTACAATGATTTCAAAAATCCAATATACTATCTTCATATCTATTGAAAGCTCTCTTCTATATGTTTTCCCTCTGTTATAAAATATAAACATTTAGATTTGTGATGTTTAGACAGTATCACACACACTGCATGTAATGTTACATGTTTACATTTTAGTCATTTTAGCAGACGCTCTTATCCAGAGCGACTTACAGGAGCAATTAGGGTTAAGTGCCTTGCTCAAGGGCACATCGACAGATTCTTCACCTAGTCAGCTCGGGGATTAGAACCCTCTTAACTACTAAGCTACCTGCCGCCCTGTTTACCTCTAAACAGTATATACTTTTGATCCTTCTACAGGACTCCAGTCTTTTTGGTGAATGAACGGGCCTATGTGTGCCTGAGTATAGCAAGCAAGCTATGTCGTTGTATCATAACCACTCAATGACCTGCAGCAGTATCAGAATGCTTTATGATTGTCTGCTTTGAGTAGGGCGGTGTAACGCTATGATGAGTGATGTATTATCACAAAGCCTGGGTTGACTTATTCACTTCAGATTTATACATAGCGTGTAATGTCAACAATCCAGGAATTCTCAGAATGAGAAAGAACGTTTTTAACACCTTCTGTTAGGGCAGTAGTCTGCCTGGAATAATGTGTATGTTCATTTGATCTCAGACAAATGCTGTAGGCGTCTGTCTAACTCTGTGATTGTGTTTGTGTGTGTCAGACATGCGACCGCATCAAGCAGTCTGCCAGCGGGACCAAGCGGCGTGTGTTCATCATTGAGACCATGGGAGGGTACTGTGGGTACCTGGCCAGTGTTGGGGGGTTGGCTGCTGGGGCGGACGCTGCCTACATCTACGAAGAACCCTTTGACATCAGGGACCTTCAGGTGAGACAAACACACTTAAAGAAACAAAAATATATGTGCAAGTTAATTCAGGAAAACCTCTTCAAACCTTCAACTTGAACCCTCCATCTGCCTCATAGCAGTCTCATAACCATGACATACTGTAAATGGAATATGTCCTAAGCAGTTATAACAGCTAACCTCAGGTTATGACCATCTGCCTTTACAGAGACTGTTGTTTAGGTAAGATACTTAAGCTGCTCTATTTGGCTAGCAGTACAATATTATAGTAGAGCATGTGTAAGTGGAACAGAATGGATTTGTGCCCAATATAGATGTTTATAAGGTGCAGTTATGCTTTTTGCTGGTCAAGAGAAGGAACACTGACTCATAGCATGTTTTCTTTCAGTCCAACGTTGAGCATCTGACAGAGAAGATGAAGGGAGCCATTCAAAGAGGATTGGTCCTCAGGTAACGCAATGCCCTGACTCACTGGATGTGTCCCAATATCTCCTTTTTGATTAGGGGATAAGAAAAGTGTACTCTTTGGGAGAAAGGAGATATAATTGGGACGTATCCACTCACTCACCGCCTCATTCAATCCCTCCCTCACTCACTCACTCACTCCTTCACTCTTGTTTTGGTGTTGCAGAAACGAGAACAGCAACGAGAACTACACGACAGATTTCATCTACCAGCTGTACTCTGAGGAAGGGAGAGGAGTGTTCGACTGCAGGAAGAATGTACTAGGACACATGCAGCAGGTAGGTAACCGTAGAATACTCTGTGGTTGTGTCCCAAATGGCACCCTATTTCCTATATAGTGCACTACTTTTGAGAAGAGGAGAAGATAGTGACAGCTGTTGTGATTGTTTTGAAAGGGAGGGGCACCATCTCCTTTCGACCGTAACTTTGGGACAAAGATCTCTGCCAAAGCCATGCTATGGCTCACCAAGAAAATGAACGAGACCTTCAGACAAGGTACAGTAGTAAAGAGCATAGTCATGCCAGTAGACTCCCAGTGTCCTCATAGAAGATTGTGATCGTGATGCAGCACCTTTACCTGGATCTGTCATGGAGTCATTCAATAACCTTTTAGGTGTTTTAGGTTGTTTTGTTCACAATGCATCCATCACACAGCAGATTTAAAATTCCCTCCGGTTTCATTTGCATATTTGTTATTTAATATAATGTGTAAGGGCTATGTTGAACGCTTTGCATGTTGGAATTGCAAGTAGCTATTCTATAATATATGAAAGTGACAATTGCACTTACAGTATACTGCACTATAAGTACATACCACACCATGTAAATATTTAAATATTACTTATTTACTAAGTAAATAAATACTAAAATAAGTACAGACTACACTATTCTAGGTTCTTGATTAAGGCTAACGTTAAAACATTACATTCTTCTTTGTTTTTTGTCTATTTGCTGTGCACATGGATGACATAAGATGAAGGTAAATTACTTTATTAATTGACGCTGGCTCCATGACCATCTATTTCATTAGATCTAGTTCCATGTCCCTTTACCCATCATGCCCTGGTAGTGTTTCATGTCTCAAATAGTGTTTAGTTGGTGTTTGTAGCAGTTGGAGGTTCTGAAGAAAAACTAGAGTAGATATTATATTTCGACATAATATCTGGATCTGTGTATTGTTCATTTTTCACTTTGCTCTTATACAGCACTCTGTTGCAAGACTCCTAGATGTTTCATTCTGTCAAACCCAAATTAGAACATTATTCCCCTTTCCCATTTAAACATTATCCTAGATCCACGTAGACAGTGTAGTGACATGCCCATTGTAAGAAGTTGACTTAAAACACCATACCAACCATTTCCATGATCATTTACTGGAAACTTAGACCTTAACCGTGAAGTGGCGTATAGACCATGCATGAGTGTGTGAGTGCTGACTGTTGTTGTTTTGCAGGGAGAGTGTTTGCCAACACAGAAGACACGTGCTGTCTGTTGGGGATGCGTCGCAGGGCCCTGGTCTTCCAGCCCGTCGTACAGCTAAAGGATGAAACTGACTTCATGTGAGTCCCTTTACCTCCGACAGCTTCTGTCACTGTACAGCACCCCCTGACAGTAACACCTACATCTTTAGTCCCACTTGAAATGCCCCTTTATGTGTTTTTACATTAAACATCTCAAATAATCAATCCAGTGTAGTTCTGTAGTTACATTATCTCCCTCTCTGTCCATCCCCCTGCAGCCACAGGATCCCTAAGGAACAGTGGTGGCTGAAGCTCCGCCCCCTGATGAAGATCCTGGCCAAGTACAAGACCAGCTATGACGTGTCTGACTCTGGCCAGCTGGAGCACGTGGTCCGCAACATCAGGCCCAAGGAGTCGGACGCCTCCAGCGCCATGTGAGCCTCTGATGTCATAGGTCAGAGGTTAATAGGTCCAGTGTGTGTCTGTCTGACTGTCCCCTTTAGAACAGGGGGCTGTTTGTGTAAGAGTACCAACTAGCAACAGCAACCAATAGCAGCTTAAGAGTCCTCTGTTGGTCAGTCATCAGTCACATAGCGGCACTTTGTTTCTTTTTCTGTCTGTCTTTCATTCATCCCCATTGTAAAAGTCCCTCCTTTTTTGTTATATTTACAAACCGGCGTATTCAGTAGGACTAGGAATGTCTGTCTGTCACCGTTGAGAGCTCTCCAGCCTAACTCCAGTGCTTCTGTCTGTTCTCACACTGACCCACCTGCTCCAACAACCCATACCCCCCTCAGACCACTGCAACAACTCACCGTCGTCGTGTCTGTCCCCTGCCCTGTCAGTCACTGTGGCTGCGTTGTCAATCAGTGACCCTTCGTGTTAAACTGCACTTTCTCCTTCCTCCTCTGAAACCCTGATGTCTGTTCCCAAGACTAACCAGTCTGAGAATAGATAATAATGTACTGTAGTTCTGCCAGTGTGAAGTTACTGACCATATTTACGTACCTGTGAGACTGAATGAAATACAATCCTGATGTTGCAAGATACATTAAGAGCAGTGTTTTATTGGCTGTGGGTTTCACATCGCAAATGTTTTGTTTTTGTTTTAACTTAATGTTCATTTGTTTGAAACATGGATATATTATACAGGTACTATTTAGACACTACTAAAAGTAGGAGTCAAATGTAATGCACCATTAATTTAAATGTATAAGCCCAATATTCCCCACACAATAAACATTATTAAACATGGAAAATACAAAGGAATGGAAGTCGTTGCATTTTTGTATTAATGATCACATACCTGTGTATTTCCTCAAACATACCAACAAGTCATTTTATAAGTCTTATGCAGACTCGCTATATTAGGGAAAATGCAATGGTTTTCATTATACCTTCCTGGGCCTGTATTCATATAGTGTCTGTGAGTAGGAGTGCTGATCTAGGATCAGGTCCTCCTTGTCCATGTAATCTATTCATTATTATCTAAAATAATAAACTGATCCTAGATCAGAACTCCTACTCTGGGACTCTTTATGAATAAGGCCCAGATGATGAATCTGTAAGATCCCATATGTATTAGATGGGTCATTGGGTTCATTGGTTTTCTTTTCTTTGCCACCTGATGGCAGCAAAGTACTGTCTCTATTCACTTTAATAGCACCTGCAGTGTAGCCGAGGCTACATTTTCCAAGGAATCGTTTTCCAACAAGCTCCCTACAATTTCTACCTATTCCATTCAGAACCATTTCAGAGCATGGGCTGTTGTAAAAAAAATAACAAATATGAAAGCGTGTACCTGAATTTGTGTGTCCGTGTGCCCACATAGCCACCATAATAATGAATTTATCTTTTAATTTAAAGGGAATTTCAATTTCCCTGGGGTGTATTAAATGTAATAGGGACATTATTTCACACCTAAATGGATTTGCTTTGCTAATCATAAGCAGTTATGTGAGCGTGTATGCAGAGAGCAAAGACCACTGTAAAGTGACAGACAGTTACCCATAACCACCACCTTTATTCCCTTGGAAATCAGCTTTAACAAACTAAATTATACATTAAACTACAGTATAAGTCAATCATGCCTTCTTACAAAAGCTTTCTCTTTTTCATCATTATATCGTTTTCCTCACCTTCAGTGAGCAGGGCTCGGGGTGGAGGGAGGTATTATTCTCACATTGCTCCTCTGACCCTCCCACAGCACGAAATTAGCAACTCCAATAATTTGGGTTGATTTAAGAATGCAGAGGGAGAGCCTGTAGGGTCATATGCACATAGGTAATCAATAGTCATTACCATTTCATTTCTCCCCTCTTTCTGTTATAAAATCACACGCACACACACACACCTGATCTCATCGGGCTGATTAAAGGTTGCAAATGAAGGGTCCTCTCCCTGGTTATGTATCAAAGCCGAACGCAACTTTGTCTTCATTTAATGTTGCATTCTCTTTAACCAAGGGCCCAATTATAAGATGGGACACTGAATCACTGAAATGGGCTGCTATATTGACCTTTACTAGATTAAAAGCGTGTTCTCCTCTTTGAGTTCATACACTTGAATTTAAGGGACAATGAATAATATTGGCGGAAAATTATTCTAGCTGTAAATGGCGAATAAAGGCTACCCACCATGGTGCTAAAATAGATTACTTTGAAAGGTATTGTGATTACAATAGTAACGACAGCCAATAAATCTTTGCTTGTGTTATTAAAAAAACTATATTTTCCATTCAGATAAATCATGTATACGTGACATGGGAAAGATGAATATTTATGGACGAAAAAAAAGAAAATATGATACTAACATAGCTAATACATTACAGCACAAATATCTGCACCATGCAGGAAAATGCATAGTGCCTATAGCTGTAGCGGTGGAGATGGATTGTAAATATGAATACAATTTCCTCCGTTCTCTGGATCCATGCAGGATTGAAATAGTTATACTACCGTGACGCTGGTTGATTTAGAACTACACAGCTCTCGTTCTCAGACCCAGTTGAAAGCTATATTGAACATGTTGTAAAGCACAGAGAAGTGTAGTGTTGGCTTAGGCAGGTGCAGTGAGTTGAACGTCATTTTAGGATTTTCACAATTTACTGAATGAGTGGATACTGGAGACTGGTCACTGGTCATCACCTTTGGCTATTAGGGCTTCCATGAGGGCATGAAAAGCTGTAATATTACATTGGTCTCTATGTTGTTTAACCTGCTATCTGTCTACTCATCCCTAACATAGTCATTACTCCATTCAGTGGCATTTGCCTCAGAAGTGATATGTGAAATCTACATGGAAAAGCAATTTCCTTTCATTTCTCTCACACACACTTCAGTGGCATCAGACAGATATAAGGAATTGTATTGGAGCCGCTAATGATGTTCGCTCTGCATCATTTAAAATGTTAATCTTTTGAAGAAAGCGACTTGCAGTTTGTCTCTTTATTTACCCATCTGTATGTGACAAATAGAGAGAACAGAGTAGGTTATATTGACGGTGGCGGTGTATTGCTGTATTTAATGAAAGGAGAGGAGCTTTAGTTGGCAGTCAGCTCTGAGACTGCAGCTCTCCTTTGATGTATTGGAGTTAATATCTTCCTGACATTTCTCAGGACAGATTTTCATCGCAGGATCATCTATACTTTTGGACCTGTGTGATAAATGATTCAGGACATTCATTTTCCTCTCTGTCTCATCTCTCCTCTCCTCTGTGGAAGAATCAAAACTGTGTGTGTGCGTGTGTGGGCGAGTGTGTGGACCAGTGTGAGTGTGTGTGTGTGGGCACGTGTACGCCTGCATGTCTGTGTGTGTGGGTCTGTGCATGACTTTGCGTGTGCGTGTCTGTGAGAGAGAGAGAGCGAGTGAGCGAGACCCGGCGCGGCATGCAATGAGGAATAGACGGCAGCATTAATGGAATTGACATTAATTTGACAGAGTGCTCACTAACATGTGAAGTCACTCGCAGTTCATAAGAATAATATTAACTTGCAATTAGTATGCCAAGCGGCTGTCAGCCTCACCAGACGCTAGGCATTTTGGGAAGTCAGAGCCATGGCCCTGTTTCAGTCTGGGGTTATGAGTTAATCCTAAAGCTATGCACAACAAGAAAATCCTCATTCCACTCACTGTCCCAGACGTAAATAGCCCACATTGTGCAAAGATGACAAAGAGCCTGCTCTGGGATTGTAACCCATAGATGTATTACAACACAGATACCCTCTGACCAACAGCATTCTCTGAATAGCTAAAAGCGTTAGTGAGAGGGTATTGATTTGGCAACAGGTTTAAGACCAAACCTAGGGCGGAATCAAGTTTTAATGTCATGTGCACATGTACGTGACAATGCAGTAATCAATCAATATTATTTCTCTCAAATTCTACGCACAAGTTTGTTTATATCACTGTTCGTGAGTATTTCTTCTTTGCCAAAATAATCCACCCACCTGACAGGTGTGGCATATCAAGAAGCTGATGAAGCAGCATGATCATTACACAGGGGAAATAATAAAGCCCTTTTGCGGGGAAAAACAGATTCTGACTGGCTGCACCCCTGCCTAGTCATGTGAAATCCATAGATTAGGGCCTAATGTCCTTATATGAACTGTAACTCAGTAAAATTGTACTAAAAATAATAACATACACTGTTAGAAAAAAGGGTTCTAAAAGGGTTCTTTGCAGAGGGATAGGGTTATACCACGAACCATTTTGATCAGAAGAACCCTTTTTGGAAGACAAGGGTTTTTTGTAAGGCAAAGAATTCTACCTAGAACCTTTAACATCCTAAGAACCGTTTTAGGAAAAAAGGGTTATTTGATGATTCTTTGGAAGGCAAGAAGGGTTCTACATAGAACCATATACAGTGCATTCGGAAAGTATTCAGACCCCTTGACTTTTTCCACATTTTGTTATGTCCCCCCTCGCTCTCTGCTCCAGTTGCAGAAGGACCAGGTTGGTTTTTAATAGAATAATTTAGGTTTTTCCTATTGTTTTCGTTGCTTGAACAATTACTTTAGAAAATATGTCTTCCCACTAGGTTTCTCACTTAACCCTTTTTAAGGACATAACCTAGACAAAACCTACCTTGTTGACTGAATAAGTCAAGGCAAGCTTTTTGCAAAACTGATTGTATGGAGATACCCTACTGTTTTGTTCATTTTGTTTGTTTGGTGAGCTGAAGCCATATTCTAAAATATATATACAGAGGGGAAAAAAAGTATTTAGTCAGCCACCAATTGTGCAAGTTCTCCCACTTAAAAAGATGAGAGAAGCCAAACTTCAGACGGGCCTGGACATGTACTGGCTTAAGCAGGGGGACACGTCTGGCACTGCAGGATTTGAGTCCCTGGCGGCGTAGTGTGTTACTGATGGTAGGCTTTGTTACTTTGGTCCCAGCTCTCTGCAGGTCATTCACTAGGTCCCCCCGTGTGGTTCTGGGATTTTTGCTCACCGTTCTTGTGATCATTTTGACCCCACGGGGTGATATCTTGCGTGGAGCCCCAGATCGAGGGAGATTATCAGTTGTCTTGTATGTCTTCCATTTCCTAATAATTGCTCCCACAGTTGATTTATTCAAACCAAGCTGCTTACCTATTGCAGATTCAGTCTTCCCAGCCTGGTGCAGGTCTACAATTTTGTTTCTGGTGTCCTTTGACAGCTCTTTGGTCTTGGCCATAGTGGAGTTTGGAGTGTGCCTGTTTGAGGTTGTGGACAGGTGTCTTTTATACTGATAACAAGTTCAAACAGGTGCCATTAATACAGGTAACGAGTGGAGGACAGAGGAGCCTCTTAAAGAAGAAGTTACAGGTCTGTGAGAGCCAGAAATCTTGCTTGTTTGTAGGTGACCAAATACCTATTTTCCACCATAATTTGCAAATAAATTCAT